AAGAATTATATTAGACACCTAAAGAGAAATAAATAGTGAAAAAAGAAAAAAATCTATTTATTATTTTATGTGCTCAGAGTCCTCTAGGGTGTATTAAAGAACCCAGATTGCCCCCTCAGCATAGTATCTTGTCTCTGGCATAGTTTTAAATCAAGCAAAAGCACAAGTGGCCATATAGACGACGCTTCTCAAAGTAACTTCAGAGGTAACCCAGTCTGAGTGATGTGAGAATTGGGGTCACTGTTCCCTACAACCTATGCATATTTGAAAACTCCAGGTTCTGTTTATTCCACCAAGAAGAATGCAATAAAATAAGGAAAAATCAGTGGGGAGCTTTTTTCTTTTTTCTTTTACATGACAATATGAAGAAAATTTAGGCACCACACTAAAAATTTCTCCTCCTGGGGTCTTCCCATCATGGATACATCAGACCAATGCAAGATAGCTGATGATGAATCAGCAACTGTTTATGGAGATTGATGCCTGCCCTGGAGTAACATCTTCTTTTTCTTTCTTCTTTATAGCAGTACATAGGTTGAGAGCAGAGAATGTCAACTGGGAGCACCCTGCGAGGTTCCCATATTAATCATATTAGGGTTTAAAATAAAATGCTGCCAGAATACATTTGTTTAAAACATGAGAATGATCTACCTTGTTTGACACAATATCATAAATATAGGCGAATAAAGTAACATATATCTGGTAGCTGTTCTTCTGAGGGCAAGAGCTTGAATGAATCTCAAGTGTTTTTTTCTCCAACATCAAGAAAAGCTATTTATCATAGGTGACCGCAAGCAAGCGAGAAGAGGCAATTGAAACAATTGTACAATTCTTTCCAAATAAGATTCTAACACTTTGTAGGTTGGAGGAGCAGTGCTCCACTTGTCCTAATGGACCAGCTTCCACTGGAAGTGAAGAGCATTGGGCTCTAGTTCTCCTTCATAACAGGAGGCAGGATTACCCTCTGTAGCCATGGAGATGTAGGGACTTCAGCTATATGCAAATACATTACTCTGCATGTGATTCCTTCTACACACAGCCACCATAAGAACACTCTTCTGTCTGATCATTCTGATGGGAATATAGCTCCATGCCAGCAAGTGTTGCCTCCTAAGGTAATCAACCTCCACCCAGGATTTGCACATGAAATCCAACAATAGTTCAATAGCTCCACTGCCCTCAATCTTCTATTCATTTGACTCCCTGTACAATTATGCACAAGGAGCCCATCCCAACCTGTTCACACAATACCAATAGCCAGGAGGCTGGTATTGAACTAACTTCCCAAATACCCTGAGGTTCTATGGATCCCTCTTTTCTGAGATCATTCTCTTGTTATATATAAACACCTGCGCTGTGGAAACAGAATCTTTAAGACCACATTCGCCGCATGGGACCCCATTGTTCAGTTTTCATGAGATCCATCTTGAAACAGATTAGCTTTGCTCCCCTCCCTTTTTCTTCTTCCTTAGTGTTCCCTACTCTTCTATTGTCTTTGTTGGTGTCAGGAACTGCTGTCCGCTGGCCCTGGAGAAACCTTCCAGTTCTGGCCTGGCCACTGGATCATATAACAGACTTCATTTTCCAGCTAAGCCCTGCTTGAGCACTCAGGTCAACCAGAAATCTAGTCTTTTGCATTTCTGTTATTTGCCCTGACTCCCAATTTGTTTATTGGTCCTCTCCTCTGATTTACCCTCTGATCCCTCCACTGTGAGGATGGGAACCTGAGGCTGTCCAGGTATTCTTGGTATCCCATCAGCCACAGATAGCAAAGCCAATGGTCAGGGATGGCAGGAATTTTAGGCCAACAACATCTAGAGGCTCACAGGTTCCTCATCCCTTCCCTACTTTATTGACACCTGGTTTGTTCTCCATTCCAGTCTTCTGGTTTTCTACTTGATCCTGATTGCCCTTGGACCAATTCTTGGCTATCTCCAGACTACTACAGTGGTACCTCGGGTTACATACGCTTCAGGTTACATATGCTTCAGGTTACACACTCTGCTAACCCAGAAATAGTGCTTCAGGTTAAGAACTTTGCTTCAGGATAAGAACAGAAATCATGCTCCGGTGGCGCAGAGGCAGCAAGAGGCCCCATTAGCTAAAGTGGTGCTTCAGGTTAAGAACGGACCTCTGGAATGAATTAAGTACTTAACCTGAGGTACCACTGTACTAATAGCCCAGCCCTGACAGTTCCATGAAATCAAGCAAGCAATTACCGGTAGCCATAGGATCTGACACAGGAGTTCCTGGGTAACAGAACCACAATATGTTCAGGTAGACAGGTGACTCACAGAAACAGAAAAACACTTTGGCAGGCACAATGACGATAACAACTCCACAGGTAAAGCTGAATACTGTTATTAGTTTGTGGGTGCCTGACACCTATAATTCCTGGAGCCAGTAAGTGTTAAAATCTAAATAAGCCAGGCTAGCTCGATGTGTTGAGATAATCGTCTGGAGTGATGGGTCATTAAGAGAACAAAGGAAAGGTGATGGGCCATTAAGGAAGCAAACAGAGAAGGGAATCTGTGCCAGATTCAGATGGGGGGAGGGCTTCCCCCAATTCTCATGGAATTGGACGGGACCCCGAGGATCATCTAGTCCAATGCAGGAATACGCAGCTGTCCCATATGGGGATCAAACCTGCAACCTTGGCGTTGCCAGCACCATGCTGTAACCAACCAAGCTGGGGTTTGAGTTGAGAGTTTGCTGTAATTGTGACCCAGAAGAAGCTGCAGCCTGGAAAGCCAGAGAAACTGAGCAATGGTCGATTTCTGTTTGACTCCAATGCCATGTCTATGGGAGAAAGGAGACCTTTTTGGGGTGTTAATGCTTGGAACCCTAGAATCTTGCACACATCATTCTGGGATTGGGATGGTGTGCAACAATACATTTACTTCTGCCTTCCCTGCCTGCATAATTGAAAGTTCCTGGTGCCAAAGTGATTGTTACCCACTGGCATCCTTTTTTTAAATAAACGTGAAGCAAATAACAACAAGAGTGGGATTCAAGGCTCTGTGCAACCATCAATCAACTCGCTGACAGGCGAACTGAAGGCAAGGATTGTCTTCCTTCTTGTATTTACTGACTTGCCCTTGGCCACCACTGAAATCCTGCCATTTGTTATCAGAGCTACACTCAGTGATGTTTCTTTCCTAGGAAAGCCACTGCTAATATCTTGGCATTTTTATAGCAGTTGCCAGCTGGTGCAATATCCCCTCCCCCCAAGAGATGCATTAAAATAGTTGCATTCATCCCTAGTCTTCTGTTGTAGTAGTTAATTTTATAGTAAGGCAAAGAGTGATTTACTCTTTTAAACCTGCTTTTCGTTCGCTCCCTCTCTCTCTTAGACACTGAATTGTACGTCTTTTCGGAACTAAAAGCCTTCATTGTGAACAAAATAAAGGAAAGGCATTGATTGAATTATGGGGCAGTAATTCTCAATTGCCACCAGCCAAGGGCTTGTCCACATGATCAATCAAAGCAGATTTCAGTGGCACATCTTACCCTTAGCACGACACTCCCTGTAATTCCCCTTTTTCTGGAGGAGTACCGTAGTGTCCCATCCATATGAAACAGATGAGAGGGAGGGAGAGCTCTGCCATTATCTCCATTCCCCCTCCATATAAACTGCTTAGATGTGCACTTCACAAGCATAATTCAAACAAGGAGCAATGCACATGGGTACACTGATGGCAAGGCAACCTTTTCTTTCTTTCCTTTCGGAAGGAACATGGGCATGAGCGTAGCTTTGAAAGCACTGCCCCCTTGATATTCAAAGGTTGATTATGCCTGGAGCAGTGTATTTGCTCAATCTCTAGTTTTATTTTTTATTATCTTTCTAGGAAGATTATATTCATTATAAATGCACTGTAAATGCTGACTATATGAATAGTGTACTCAAACCTTCGAGGCCTCTGGATTCCTATCAACATTCTGAATTCATTTAGGTACATGCAATTAAGGATGGAAGAGAATATTGTTTGTTCCACTTTTTTTTAAACTACAGTGGTACCTCGGGTTACATACGCTTCAGGTTACATATGCTTCAGGTTACAGACTCCACTAACCCAGAAATAGTACCTCGGGTAAAGAACTTTGCTTCAGGATGAGAACAGAAATCGTGCTCCAGCAGCGCGGCACCAGCGTGAGGCCCCATTAGCTAAAGTGGTGCTTCAGGTTAAGAACAGTTTCAGGTTAAGAATGGACCTCCAGAACGAATTAAGTACTTAACTCGAGGTACTACTGTACGTACTGCATAGTAAGGACACTACAGTCAGCTAACAGGACCCGGTTAGCTCTGCCATGGCATGATTATTGTGTACCCACAGCACCCCCTCTCCCAGGAGCCAGGCCTCACAGTCAAAGGAGAAGGCACGAGAACATCTAATCATCATCATTTTTAATTTGTATACTGTCTTTCTATCTTACAATACTCAAGGCGGTTTACAAGCTGAAGAAACAAAAAATGTACACCTTATAACAATCTAATGCAATACAAAAATGTGATAATAAAACAAAACTTTAAAATAAGCAACCTACATCAAAAAGGAACATTCAACAATTATTAGAATAGTATAAAATAATAATATCAACATATAAAAGTTAAACAGAAATCCACTCAACAGTTACAATAAATAATTTCTAAACTATAATCAATAAAACAACGGCAAGCCACAGTACATAAAATAATACAATACAGATTGAGAAGCAGAGACTAGAGCAGGGGTAGGCAGCCTAAGGCCCATGGGCCACAAGCGGCCCATGGAGGTCATTTAACCAGTCCACAAGCTGCCCCCAAACCGAGCCGCCTGCTCAGCAAGTCCCTGTGCGCTGCACTGGAAATTACATCTATGCAGATATCAGAAATCACATCTGTGCAGATGCAGGTGCCAGAAATTGCAGGCACACGGGCAATCCGGCCCATGGAGGGATCTCCCTGGAGTTAACCAGCCCAGGTGAGGTAAACATTGCCGACCCCTGAACTAGAGGGTGGAGCAAGGCAGGTGGAAGGAGGCCTTGCCTAACGAAATCTCTCCCCTCACAGTTCTTCCTCCAGGAACAGCTTCCTTATAAGGAGTTCCATGACCAGGGGGTGGGGCAAGGCAGGTGGAAGGAGGCCTTGCCTGATGGAGTCTCTCCCCTCACAGTTCTTCCTCCAGGCACAGCTCCCTTATGAGGACTCCTAGGGCCGGAGGGTGGGGCAAGGCAGGTGGAAGGAGGCCTTGCCTGATGAAGTCTCTTCCCCTCACAGTTCTTCCTCCAGGAACAGCTTCCTCATGAGGAGTCCCATGGCTAGGGGGTGGGGCAAGGCAAGCGGAAGGATGTAGGTAAACCTTGGTATAGGCATTGGGTGTGTATAGGGATACACACACCCTTGCTGGGGTCTGAGCCGTGTCAGGGTAGGTTAGGGGAATATGGGACCAACACAAAACATGATTTTACGCAGTTGGTCCCTCCCCAAATTGCTGAGGGTAGCTCTAGGCCCCTCTGCCATGTGCTTGTGGACAGAGACTACCCTCATGACCCCTCTAATGGGGTACCCGCTTATTGCCACTGCAGGAAGTCACCACTTCACCCCTTCTTCAGATGCTTGACTAAAGGATTCTGCCCAAAGTCTAAATTGCCAAAGTGGTGACAATTGCTATGGAGAAGGCAAAACCTGCAGAGCAGGGGAAATTCCTTCCCGGCCCTGCAAAAACAGCAGCCATCGTACAACCGTTTCTTCCCTGCATGCCTGGGAAGAAAAACAAGAGGGTGGGCTGGGTCGGTGATGCTCTGGGGCCACTGTTCTCTTGGAGTAGATAGGAGTAAAGCCTCCTCCAGTGTGGTCTGCTCCGATTGCCCCGCCCCCAAGGCTGTTGCGGATTGGCCAGAAATTTCAAACTGGGTTTGGCAGAAACCCAGCAGGCACCACGGTGGCTAGGGGAGAGGAGCCAACGGTCGGGGCAAATATGGCATGGCTTCAGAAGGAAGGGGAAAGACCGTGCCGAGTTGCAACCGCTGCCCACTTCTGTACCAGGTAAGTGGCCATTATTGGCTTGTGGTTTTTTTAAAAAAATCATAACACTGAAAGTTCAGTTCAAGGGGCTATTTGCCTAAAGACAAGCCTGCGGAATGCCAACACTGATGGGGCCTCTCATATTTCAGCAGGGAGGGCTTTCCATAACACTGGTACCACCAGTGAAAAAGGAAGGTGCAAAGTATGGCTAATGAGGGGTGTGGCCTGAGGAGAATCCCAAAGGGCTTGGAAGACACATTCAACTCCTGAGCTTGAGGTTTCCCACGCCTGGTTTATATAAACTAATCATGTGGACATAACTTACCTTGTGGGATCTCAACCACTGAATCGGAAGCCCACCAGGGTTGTCTCCCTCTCCCCAACATACATGTATCCACTCATGTAACACTTTAATTTCTACTGTATTTCTGCCATGTCATTGATCCCTGTAAATGTGGTTGAGTCATTTAAAGTGACCCTCAGCTTCAGCGGAGGACAATTCCAGTCCATAGCTGTCAACTTTTCCCTTTTCTTGCGAGGAATCCTATTCGGAATAAGGGAATTTCCCTTAAAATAAGGGAAACGTTGACAGCTATGTTCCAGTCACATTTTACTTCTTTTGCCACAAGGCTGCAACAAACAAGATGTCGGAACTATTCCTCCATCTTATTTGGAAGTATAGTCAGGTAAAACCGTATTGCTGAATGGAAGCAATATTTTAGGAAGGAAAATACGGCAAGCAGCTTTTTAACATTAATTGAAACAATCCAGCCAATATAAGTCTGTTGGCCAAGTGACAGACATTGTGTGTACAGCAAATTGCATATAGGTTGATGTGAAAATCTAAATGCTGCTTTGCATATGAGAGAGAACTCTTTGTGTCTGCTTGGAGAGTTTTCCATTGCTATCAGAGGTGCTTTGTAATCCAGGTGTTTTGGAAACTTCTTTTATGCTCATTATGCCTCATGAAGGCCTTGCAGCTGTTCCTTTTCTTCAGGGTTCCTCCAGGCTGTCTAGTTTTATCCTGCTTTTAGCTAAATATTTCCACTGGTTGAAGGCCAGGACTGTTATCATATCACACGTCTGTCTTTCTGTCTGCCTGCCTGCCTGCCTGCCTGTCTGCTGCTGCCCCTAGAATAAAGCAGTTCTTTCCATCTGGGGGACATTCAGGCAGCTGCAATTTAAATTGGCTAGATAGACTGTTTCAGAGCAACCGATCCCTGTAGGACATGCGTACTGGAGTACCCCTCACCTGTCCACACAGTTTGCAGAAATTCAGTGGACTGGTAGTGGTTGTGACTTCCTCCCGAGACCTCGCAGTGATGTCCCTGTAATAAAAGTACAAGTGTTTCTATGATACCTTTCCTCTGCTCCTGCCTGTACACTGCACCACTAAGAGCCAAAGAATATCAGCAAAAAGATAACGATGGATTAACAAAACAAAATTTCTTCACATCTAGAGTCGCTGGGTGCTTATACAGTGGTACCTCAGGTTAAGAACTTAATTCATTCTGGAGGTCCGTTCTTAACCTGAAACTGTTCTTAACCTGAGGTACCACTTTAGCTAATGGGGCCTCCCGCTGCCACCATGCGATTGCTGTTCTCGTCCTGAAGCAAAGTTCTTAAGACGGGGTACTATTAGCGGAGTCTGTAACCTGAAGCGTCTGTAACCTGAAGCATCTGTAACCCAAGGTACCACTGTATGTGCTCCTCTTTTTATATTATTATTTAAAGAATATTTAGCCCACTCTTCTGCATCCAAAAGGCTCCCTGAGAGGCTTACATTTCACTACAAACCATGGCAGGCTCACCCATGAAGCAAGGTGAGGCCATTGCCTCAGACAACAGGGTTTTTAGGGGCAGAACATCTCCATAGAGATTTTTACCACCACCACCCCTACCACCCCTGTTCCTGATGTAGATCTTCACTCACCCCTTCTTCTCTGGTGGGAAGGAGGACACACCATTTTGTGGTTCACCTCAGGTGACAGACATCTTTGGTTGGCCCTGGTACAAACAAGCAGGGACAACAACGCAAACATAAACGAGGGATTATTGTACGTCTTACAGAAATGGCATGGACAAGTGGGTTCCTGCAGAACAGCCTGCAGCCCTTTTGCTCCTCCCTGGTTCTTCCCCTTTCTGTGCCACAGCAAGCTAGGTCAAGGCTTGTCCTGGCATGTTATTGAAACCTAGATTCACGGTTATGTGCTCTCTTCACTAACCACAAGCTGTAGCCAAGGTTTCTTCTGATTCGTTATCTGATGTGGCCATTCCAATGCCCTCATCTCATGGAACGTGTGGTGTGGAATTTGTTTCTGTGAATCCAGGACAGTTTCTTTTCAATATTGTTACAACCTCGTTCTTTAAAGAGAGTTTAACTTTTCAGTAACTTATGCATAGGACTACTGTCCTGATTTCAGAACCTCACTTGCATTTATGGTATGTAAAAATAGTAGGAAACTCAGAAGCAGTTGGGAGCAGTCCAGACCAGTTTTTCCTTCTCTCTCAGACTCTTCTGTGACTTTGCCTTGTAGCTCCAGCAAATGACATTTATTTTATCCACCCTGCAGAAATTGTTACAGCACAGTCCTATGCATGTCTACACAGAAGTCAGTCCTGTTGAATTCAGTGGGATCTCCTCCTGAGTAGGCATGCATAGGATTGTTTGTTAATAACTTTCCCGTCCGTGAATATGAGTGATAGCTGAGAAGTTAGCAATGTTGCACCGGGGTTAAACTTGTCATGAAATATTGAAATTCATCTTTTTGATGTGATGATGTGTTGTTGTTGTTTTGAAAAAAATAAAGCCTCGTAGATTCCTCTCCAACTAATAAAAAAAATGAAATTGATTTTCCTGTAAAATGCTCATTGACAGGCAATTGGGTTTAGAAAAAAAATTATTAGAGATGCTGGAGAGGCATTATTTGGGATGGGAGGTAAGGCTGGGGGTTTAAAACACAGAGGAGAAAAAGTTAATTTAAAGTGATGTTTGGTAAAAATTCCCCTTTGAGATCCTGTTGTGTAATTGAACAGATTAAGAGAACTGACAGTAACTTCACAGTGTGTCTAAGTGGAGGTCTCTATGGGTCAGCTCTCGGATCTTGTGCCGACACGTTAAACAAGTTTGTCAATTTTCCATCAGATTGATTTTTCTCACAGGTCTGGAAGCCTCGTCTCATTTCATCTTATTTCCACAGGGGTTCTTAACATTGCAAACTGCCATTTACTTTTGTCTCAAAGTGTGAGGAATGATTTTTATCTCAGAGTGGCAATCAAGGCAGGAAGCTCCTGAAATTCAGCGCTCTGTTTATCATGGAGCACATTTTGCTCCTGGTTTTTTTGGTGGGTGGAGAGGGCTGCTTTTCTTCTGAGAGGATTTTTATTTGAAGGTAAACAAGCAAGAATTGTCTTCCCTTTTTTTTTACTTTGGCAATTTATTTATATAGTCATCTCCAAAGTCTCAGCTTTCTGAAGGGAAAAGGCTATTGTTTTTCTTTACAGTTTCAGCCCTAATGAAAGAACAGCTTGACTAAATATGGCACTCCCGAAAGGTCACATAAAACCATATTGATGTCTATTTTCATGTCAGGGTGAAATGACCCCACCCCTCGAGGGGTTGTCAAGGGAAATTACATGCATGGATAAATCAGAGAGCATACCTCTTAATGATCAAATACCGTTACAGCTTTTACAAATCCAAACCCTCAGTAACTTTACTGCTGCCAGAGGAACCACATCATATATGCAACAGTACCACAGAGGGCAGAGTTTGTCTTTAAGTCTTCAGAGCTAAATAAGCTGCGTAAGGACCGGATCCAGGTCTCTTCAGCCAACGGACTGGCAACCATCCAAATATGAGCTGTTAATAAGCAGGTTTAGCACCATAGGCAGATGCCAAGACCAAGACTGACATTTGCAATGTTCAGTGACATGTGATAAACCCTTTCTTTTTAGAAAGGGTGGGAGAGAAACAGTGTAACTGCACATTAATAAACACATGTTGTTGTTGTTAATAAAATGGCTCAAGACCGCAATATCTCAAGGATCGCCTCTTTCCATATGAACCTACCCAGACCCTGAGATCATCTTCCTAGGCCCTCCTTCGTGTGCCTCCTCCTTGAAAGGCTTGGAGGGTGGCAACACGAGAACGGGCCTTCTCTGCAGTGGCTCCCTGTTTGTGGAATGCTCTCCCCAGGGAAGTTCGCCTGGTGCCTTCATGATACACCTTTACGTGCCAAGCAAAAATGTTCCTCTTTAACCAGGCATTTGGTTGATCCGATTTACATCCTATGCCCTTTTAAAATGGTTTTT